TCTCAGTTTGGACTGAAAAGAAATTTCAATTCTTACTGAAATTGAAACAAAATGCTGTTATTAACCCACTCCAACTTAAGGGTATTAAGTGTTTATTTATCATTTCTAATACGAAATAACAATTCTATACCTCTGAAAAATCAATTTTGTATTTTGGTCAATAATAACAGTAATAATAATAAATTCTGGATTGATATATTTTGAAGTGTTTGTTTTCTAGCAATCAAATGGACATTTGAGTCAACTCCAACACCAAACGTTCTCAATTCTCATTGGTGGATTGTGGCGCAATTATTAAAAAGATGTCTCCTGATTTTGATGTAACCTGAGATGATAACCTCTAACTATTTATATAATTTCTATTCCAACCAGACAATGGAGAAGTTGAAAGTAAAGTTGATTGACATATAAGCTAGAAGTGACTTTAAGCCTTTAACATGGGCAAAAAGGATACAAGTTGTAACATGCTTTCATGTCCTTCCCCAACAAGCTAACAAAGAGAATGGTGTGGTTATGTAGGTAAAAAAAATGTCTTTATTTTTTTTCTCTTGTTTATGATAAAAAAAGGGTCCTTTAAAGGTGTACCATAAAAAACAATAATAACATGTAAATCATACCTGTCATATAAATGCTGTCACCACCATCTCATTAACCCCTAACTTAATTGGATGCTTGGGTATAGCTTAATATATATTTTTTATTTTTTAAAAGAAAAATAAAAGTTGAGATGCATTGACATTTAAGATGTTAAGAGTATTTTTGAAATTAGTCAAATATTTTTTAATAAATCTTTTTAACATATTAATTTATTAAAATATTAAAAAAAATTTATTATCATTTATAATATTTTAATTATACAAGCGTCTTTATTTACCATCATTCCATTAATCAATAAGCTCGAAGAGCCCAATCAAGAAGAAGAAGAAGAAATAAAAAAGCTCAAAGAGCCGAAAGAGTAACATGGGTCAGGCCCAGTCAAGGGTACCACGTTTGTTTCAGAGCATGCGTTAGAGTTACTTATGGTGCTCCGTTATGGGCTAAAATTGGCATTTACACTTCAAACCAGAAGTTGTTCCATCAAAAGAAAATTCAGCCCAAAGGCAGCATATTACTTCCAAAACCCGTTAAGTGGGGAAAAGGGCTGAAGCAGATATTCAGCTGCACGTCTTTCCCTCAAAACTTTTACTTCACAGTATCTTTACTTTTTTAGTTTAATTGAAACGGATAAGAGGGAGAAGAGGAAAGGAATAAAGTTTTTAGCTAACTAGATTGCAATGTTGGTTAATATTATAATTTAATTGATAAAAAAAAAAAATCACCATTTTCTCTCCTCTCTTTTTTTTTTTCCCCCGTACCAAATATATCTTTATAATTAGGATCTAAACAAGTTCTTAAATATTTTGTTTTTAAGTAGAACATTAAATTATTCACTAAACATTAGGATTTATTTCACCTAAACCCTCCCTTTGTCAATATATATATATATAAAGGAATTTTTACTTATAGTTAATTAAACACTTAGTTTTGCTAGATCAAAGTCTAACGTGACTTGAAGTCACCATATTTTCTAACTACGCCTTTTTTTATGGCAAATCTCCAAGGTGCTTGTTTTCTGTTGTTTTGTTGGAAAAGGAAGTTAGTGTTTAGCTATTACAGCAGTTTGAACAACATGCTTTAACCATATATCAATGTTTTGAAATAAGTATAAACTCAGATAACTGCTCTAATATTCATATATAGTTGATATACATACAAATATTTGGGAGGCTTTTCAGCCTTCTTTTATCATCAAAGCATCCATAAGATGCAAATTAAACAGGTTTTGAACACGATTCGACTCATTTGATTATGGTCGTTTTTTATTTCTTCAAAATAACATTGTCAAAAAGAACACTGCACATCTAAAAAAATTCCGAGGAAATCAAAGGAGAAAGGGGAGAAGAAGAATTTCACTTTATTCATGAAATTGAATTTCTCCACCTTCTAGGCGTTTTTCTATTCTGTTCTGCAACAACTGGGAGCTGAGATCCAATGTTGTCTTGGTTTTCCATGGTCGTCATCTTGGTTAGTTTGCTGAGTTTCTTCCATCCACTGCTCCATGCGGAAGTTTGTTTTGGTTTTGACATCTTATCAAACTGTCGTTGCAAGCTTTCCATGTCGTTTTGGAGCTCAAGGTACTTAGCCTTTACACTCTCCAGCTCAAATTTTAGTGTATTGATGTCTTTCTTGGCGGCTGCCCACCCTTCCTGGAATGATTGTGGAGTTGCTTCAAGCAATGTTTTCCGATTTGGTATCATGGGCTGGTAAAGAGTCTCTTCTGTGTCTTTTAGGCTGCTGTTAGCCAGTGCATTGCTTATCTTCACCTGTTCAGAAAAGAGAACTTGCACCACCACTCTCAGTGGCAGCCTCTCATTCTGAGCAGCATGCATGCAGGCATCAATTGACAGCTTCTGGCAGTCCATCACACGGCAGAGCCTCTTCCTTTCATGCTCAGTCAATGTTGGATGAGCCTGTTAAGATGTTAGGCAGATGAGACTTCAAAAGAAAACAGAATTTTATGTGCGCAAAGACCATGCAAGGGACAAATAATTAATTTCATTCATTACTATGTTCTTTTTCATCCAAGAGGACCATTTTTCCGCTCCGGTTAATGCAGAGTGACTCTGTCTTACCTTGAGATAAGAATCAATTGCCCGATAAAGTCCATCGTCGCAGGCCCTTGCAGATTCAGGTAAAGCTTCTGCCAGGACCTGAAACTTTGTCAGTGAAAGGTTCCGATCTCTGGAAACCTCAGTAAGATAACTGTCAACAAGCCTTGCCACTCTCATCTTGGCATTAGTGTTACTGCCCCTTGGAGTTCCTTCATACATGTGTTTGTCTGAGCAGGATTGACTGCTAGGGCTTGAACTTTCTGTCTGTTCCTGTACAAGAAAATGTTCCAGGAGTCTCTGAACAAGGTCCACATCGTACATTGTCTCACCTTTATTATAAGAAGGTATGAGAAGATCGGCCAGTGTAGCCTGCTCAAACTGCATTCCCACCCGCTTTTCCAACTCAGTCACCAAAGCTGGGGCTACTTTCAGCATGCTTGCCATCCTCAGCAGCCTGAGAAGAAAGCTGCAGGACACGCTGTCCTTCTGTGGGGGAATGATGCTAATTAGGCTCTCAATGATCATCCGTTGATCTTTGGCCTGAACCGTAGGAGGATCATCCTTAGTTGCAGCCACAATCATGTGAAGTGCGCCTTTCCAACTGCTGCTACCACTACCAGTACTATTACTGCTACAACTCATTTCATCGCCGAAGACTGACCCCTCTTTAATCAAACCTGGAAGCCATTTTGTGGCATAATGCATTATTGCTGCACCTATCAACTCAAACCTCATTCCCTTTACCTTAATCGCTGTAATGACCCTAACAAAGTGATCAATCCTGAGGATTGAAACATCTTCAAACCACCAATCAGGAGGAACAGGCTGATTCCTACTGGGGCTTGAATCCTTCATTTCATTCCATTTGGGGCTAGAAACTTTTAGGGGTCTCCCAGTATACGCCCATCTAATACCTTTTGGATTGGCACAGGCCTTCCAAGCTATTGACTCACTGCATCTACGCACAATTTGAAGGTTTTCCGCCCATGGGGAGAGCTTCTCACAACTTTTTAGTACCAGTATAGAGTCTCTCCATGAGGATAACACCACATAGCTAAGAAATGCTTCCGTTTTGAATATAAGATTTCCTTCTTCTAAATCCTCTGTCATCTCTAGGTACTCTGCAGCACACCTAAGGCCAGATATGTTAGCTGCAGTGAGATCAACAGCAATCCCATAACAGAACTTCGTTGCTACCTCAAACGCCTCGGGCCCTCCAGGAAGATCATCCAAAGTAATCTTGTGAACATCTTGGCGCGACTCGTAAATTAGCCTGTTCATCTTTCCACTTCGAGAAAGCAGGGGATACTTTCACAAGATCAAAGAGAGAAACAGAATTGTAGTAAGCAATATGATTGAAGACCAAACAGTCTTTAAATTCTCGCTACCGAATGTCAAATATAGAGTTCTCACAGACAATAAATTAATCAAACATCTGAGCAGAGAAACACAGCTACCTTGTGTAAATGAAAATCAAAATCTCCAACATGAACTAGAAGATCACTAGGGATATCAGTAGTAACATACCTGCGTATAGAACAAACCCAACAAAGAATTTCAGAAGCAAACTTTGACCTCCAAAGAACCATGAAAGCACAGAGCTTTTCAATTCGTTTTCTTTACTACAAAAGGGTTTTAGTTTATGTACATACCAAGATTGGCCTCTTAGCTCAAACCCATCAGCCTTGACACCATGTTTTGTGGAGCTAAGGACTCCATTGCCATACTCTCTGCCACCAAGGGATTCACTATCTGATTCCCACATATTTGAAGCAAAAATCCCGAAAGCTGAGCAGGAATTTCCCTGGA